ATCGTGGGAAGGGCCATTCACGGTCCAGGAGCGCCTGGGAGCTGTTAATTATCTCATAGCATTCCCCACCTCCAACCGAAAGCCTAAGGTGTACCATATTAATTCTCTAAAGCCCTTTTATTCCAGAGAATTAAAGGTTTGTCAGTTTACAGCCCAGGGAGGAGACGACGCTGAGTGGCCTGAAGGTGTTTACTACGAAGGGAAATGTGCTGGTGGTGTGGAAGAGGTGAACCTCTCCATGACCCTTGGGCGTATGCAGCGACAGCAGATCCAGGAGCTGTGCACTAGCTACGCGCCAACGTTCTCAGCCACCCCAGGACTGACTGAACGGGCATACCACTCCATTGACACAGGTAATGCTCACCCAATTAGGGTCCAACCTTACCGGGTGTCTCCTCAAGCTAAAACTGCTATAGAACGGGAGATCCAGGATATGTTACAGATGGGGGTAATCCGCCCCTCTGAAAGTTCATGGGCATCTCCAGTGGTTCTAGTTCCCAAACCAGATGGGGAAATACGTTTTTGCGTGGACTACCGTAAGCTAAATGCTGTAACTCGCCCAGACAACTATCCAATGCCACGCACAGATGAACTATTAGAGAAACTGGGACGGGCCCAGTTCATCTCTACCTTGGACTTAACCAAGGGGTACTGGCAGGTACCGCTAGATGAATCTGCCAAGGAAAGGTCAGCCTTCATCACACATCTCGGGCTGTATGAATTTAATGTACTCCCTTTCGGGCTGCGAAATGCACCCGCCACTTTCCAAAGACTTGTAGATGGTCTCCTAGCAGGATTAGGAGAATATGCAGTCGCCTACCTTGACGATGTGGCCATATTTTCGGATTCCTGGGCAGACCACCTGGAACATCTACAAAAAGTCCTTGAGCGCATAAGGGAGGCAGGACTAACTGTTAAGGCTAAGAAGTGTCAAATAGGCCTAAACAGAGTGACTTACCTTGGACACCAGGTGGGTCAAGGAACTATCAGCCCCCTACAGGCCAAAGTGGATGCTATCCAAAAGTGGCCTGTCCCAAAGTCAAAGAAACAGGTTCAATCCTTCTTAGGCTTGGCTGGTTATTACAGACGATTTGTACCGCACTACAGCCAAATCGCTGCCCCACTGACAGACCTAACCAAAAAGAAACAGCCAAATGCTGTTCAGTGGACTGGAAAGTGTCAGAAGGCCTTTAACAAGCTTAAGGCGACACTCATGTCTGACCCTGTACTAAGGGCCCCAGACTTTGACAAACCGGTCCTAGTAACCACAGATGCATCCGAGCGTGGTGTGGGAGCAGTTTTAATGCAGAAAGGACCTGATCAAGAATTCCACCCTGTAGTGTTTCTCAGCAAAAAACTGTCTGAGAGGGAAAGCAACTGGTCAGTCACTGAAAAAGAATGTTATGCCATTGTCTACGCTCTGGAAAAGCTACGCCCATATGTTTGGGGACGGCGTTTCCACCTGCAAACCGACCATGCTGCACTAAAGTGGCTTCACACCGTCAAAGAAACTAACAAAAAACTTCTTCGGTGGAGTTTAGCTCTCCAAGATTTTGATTTCGACATCCAACACATCTCAGGAGCTTCTAACAAAGTGGCTGATGCACTCTCCCGTGAAAGTTTCCCAGAATCAACTGGTTAAAATCGTCCTTGAGATGTGGAAAATATTGTTAGTCTTTATGTACTTGGTAGTATATTTAGAGATGCATGTGTCTTATTAACTCTGTTTTCCTAGAGCTCCAGGAAGAAATCCCAGCCAGTGTTTCACCCTAGCTGAGATTTGGGGGGCGTGTCATAAATATAAAGGGAAGGGTAAACCCCTTTGAAATCCCTCCTGGCCAGGGGAAAGCTCCTCTCACCTGTAAAGGGTTAAGAAGCTAAAGGTAACCTCGCTGGCACCTGACCAAAATGACCAATGAGGAGACAAGATACTTTCAAAAGCTGGGAGGAGGGAGAGGAACAAAGGGTCTGTCTGTCTGTATGCTGCTCTTGCCAGAGACAGAACAGGAATGGAGTCTTAGAACTTTTAGTAAGTAATCTAGCTAGGTATGTGTTAGATTATGATTTCTTTAAATGGCTGAGAAAAGCATTGTGCTGAATAGAATAACTATTTCTGTCTGTGCATCTTTTTTGTAACTTAAGGTTTTGCCTAGAGGGGTTCTCTATGTTTTTGAATCTAATTACCCTGTAAGATATCTACCATCCTGATTTTACAGGGGGGATTTCTTTATTTCTATTTACTTCTATTTTTTATTAAAAGTCTTCTTGTAAAAACTGAATGCTTTTTCATTGTTCTCAGATCCAAGGGTTTGGGTCTGTGGTCACCTATGCAAATTGGTGAGGCTTTTTATCCAACATTTCCCAGGAAAGGGGGGGTGCAAGTGTTGGGAGGATTGTTCATTGTTCTTAAGATCCAAGGGTCTGGGTCTGTAGTCACCTAGGCAAATGGGTGAGGCTTTTTACCAAACCTTGTCCAGGAAGTGGGGTGCAAGGTTTTGGGCAGTAATTTGGGGGGAAAGACGCGTCCAAACAGCTCTTCCCCAGTAACCAGTATTAGTTTGGTGGTGGTAGCGGCCATTCCAAGGATAACGGGTGTAATATTTTGTACCTTGGGGAAGTTTTGACCTAAGCTGGTAAAGATAAGCTTAGGGGGTTTTTTCATGCAGGTCCCCACATCTGTACCCTAGAGTTCAGAGTGGGGGAGGAACCTTGACAGGGGCCGAGCTAAGGAGAAAGCAGGGGCCCAAGCTGAGCAGGGGAGCAGACCTGTGCCAGATCCAGAGAGAGCACACCCTGTCCTGGGAGCAGGGCTGCAGCAACCAGAGCCAGAGGGGCCAGAAAAGCAGCCCATGAAGCAGGTCAGTGCTGGGAGCAGAGTCACAGAAGCAGCCTGCAGAGCAGAGCTGTCCTGGGAGCAGAGCTGTAGCAACCAGAGGCAGAGGGGCTAAAGAAGCAGCCCAGGGAGCTGGAGGCAGAGCAGCAGCAGCAGGAGCCCTGCAGAGACAGCGTGGTGCAGCTGGGGCTGGAGCAGTCCAGAGCTGGGTGCAGTGAGCAGCTGCGGAGAGTGAGGGGGACCCTGGGCAGTGGGCCCAGCACAGGGAGACACCTCAGCCAAGGGGCTCTGCAGGCCAGGCTTGGATCATAACCCCAGCAGGGCGGGGGCAACACTGGGAAGAAGGGTCTGACCACTTAGAGCCTGAAAACGTGAGGCCACCACTAGAGCAAGTGTCCAACCCACAGCATCCCTGCAGCACAGCCAGGGCCTGAGAAGGAGGCCTGGGACTTACAAGGAACAGACTGTGAACTGCCCTGACGTTCCAGAGACACTGTTTGTGATGTTCCCTGCCACAGAGTGGGTTGATGTGATTCCTTTAACCTTTCCCATTTTTCCTTATTCTTTTTAAAATTAATTGTTGATTAAATAACTTGCATTTGTTTTAACTTGTATGTTATGGTCAGTGGGTCAGAGGAGTACCGAGTGCAGAGAGAGTACCCCGGAGTGGGAACACCCTAGCCCCTGTCCTAGGTGGGTTGAGGGTCGAGCCCCCCAGGAATCCTGGGCCCAGCCTTGTTGGGGTTATGAGGACTCTGCCAGACAGGAGAGTGGAACAGGGTAAAGGAAGTGGGAGCAAGGACTCAGATCCTTTTGCTAGCCCAATTCACCGGGGTAGTGCAGAAGCCAGAAAAGTTCCCCACAATAGTGGGACTATTCCCCTGCTTACACACAGCAGCCACAGAGCTGAGGCTGGGAAGGAGGGCCATCTCTCCCCAGCAGCTGTAGCACTAGAGCTGGGGAAAGTTGCCTCTTTCTCTGGCCGCCACAGCCCTGCACATACCAAATTCCCCCCACCCCCTCTTCTTACCCCACTACCCCCTCCCACCTATTCCCCCCAAGGCCACCACCTCACCTTACATATGCATCTTCTCCAGGGTCCAGGCACCTAATTAGTGGAGCCATGCCTGCACGGCTCCACTGATTAGGTGGGTGGCCCTTCATTCTGTCGTGTGCGGCAGCCCAGGCACGTACCTTAGAGGGAACTGTCCGCGGAACACATGAATGAAGCTCGCGGACCACTGGTGGTTCACGGACCACAGTTTGAGAACCACTGGTTTAGACTGTAAGCTCTTTAGAACAGACTAGTCTGTATCTTTTATGGGGCTAAGCACATTATCTGTGCTTAACAAAAAAAAACAACCAACCCTCCGCCCCCCAGCAACAACATAATTCTCCCATCCATTTAGAACAGTTTAGATTACATTTGGGACGTAAGATACCTAACCGCATCCCTTTTGCCGACTCCTATTTTGATGTTTCTGTACCACAGAATTAAAACAGGAACCACTTAAAGCCACCTTCATAGAAAAGGAAATAGGCTGAAAATTTCATAAAAAGGAATCAAACTCAGGATCCAACAGCAAAAGTGGAATGAGAATATTTTAAAATAGCTGAAAATGATTTTAAACTCATTTTGCTTATATGCACAAGCTTGGTCACCATTGTCTTTTCATTCAGGTGGGACAGGGTAGGTGGGGTGTGTGTGGAGGTCACACACACACACAGAGGCCCTAGTCCTGCCATCACTAAAGTCAATGGAAATGCTGCAATTGACTTCATTAGGAGTGGGTTTTCTTTTTCCAGTACCAATCTCACAGCTCTAATCTGATCACTTTGTATATGAAATGCAGAAAAAAAATTCTTGTTTCTTAGAAGTAGAGGTCTTCTAGTCCACTAAACATTAAGTTCTATTTGAAATGACTGAAGTAAGAGCTAGTTCACACATTTATTTTTAGTAGACTGGCTGTGAATATCTTATTTGAGCAAATAAGATATAAATCTATCTGGGTAAACAAGAAGCACCCACATTTTTAATTCAGTGTCATACAGATAACAGATCCAGGCATTGCTTGTTTATTACACAGACTATTCTGATGGTTTCATGTCAGAGATGATACTATCAGCCATACAGGGTAAATGAGGGATCACAATAATTGATACCTACCTGGTGCAGGTACCGCCATTGTGACATGGATGATAATCACAGACAGGGACATTGCAGTTCTCAATGTTCCTCCCACCTAGGGCCTCGTCGATGATAAATAATTCTTTGTTGTTCACTTGAAACTCCCTAATGCAGCCTCTGTAGCCCTGAATCCGTCCTGCACTCTGGTGGACCTGAGCTTGAGCAGGGACATTTCCAAGGAACATTGATCCAAAGGTGCTCTGCAGAGTCCCAAGAAAAAACATCAACAAAAGGCTTATGATAATTGTTTTCTGACTCTGTGTGATGTGTCTATGTCTCATTAAGGAATAACAATACGATACTCATAGCAAGTAGCTCATGCCACTAAAAGATAATGATACAAATTCAGAAATTAGTATTAGATTATCATTAACCTCAAGTCTGCAAGGCACAAAGACAATGAGCTGGATCCTTAAAGAAATAGTTAATTGAGACAAATGCCAGAGGGCTCTTGGAAATCTCTTTTGAAATAAGGAGAAATACACCTGCCCATAGAATAATACTGCACAATTAAATGCACTGTGGTGATTTTATGACTTTACTACTGAGCACTGGCAATTGTCTACCTAGATCGTGTTCAGATACAGTGAGGAGATCCCTACAATATGTTCTTATGTCACTATAAGAATCCCTTTTTCAAAAGGAGTTGCTTTTAAAAAATATTCATTTGAAGAGACTATTAAAAATTCTCTGAATAGCATTTGAGCAGGAGGAAAAAAGGAATTAAGTGAAAAGGAGGGGAGAAAGCTGTCGAAATAGGAAACTTCAGTAATAAAATTAGTTCAAAAAAAGCCTCAGGTCCCTGGCCTACATTTTCACAGTTGTGACTAGTGATTTTGTTTGCCTCAAGTTTTTGGCACGCAACTAGAGGCACTTTAAAAGGGTCCTGATGTTCTGAAGGAGGGTGCTCTGCACTTTCTGAAAATCAGACTTCTTAATGGTGTCTCAAGTGGGGTAGCCAAAAATGGATGCACCCCAAATTATTAGTCACTTGTACAAATGTAGGCACCTGTTTGAGTATTGATTTTATTTAGGTATGACCAAATTAGTTAAATAAAGTAAGAATTGAGGTGAACATTCACTGATCCCTCAAACTGAAGAGACAGAGAGTGTCTGCATGCAGTGAGGGTCGCAGTCAGAAATAGGGTTGATGAAGAGTTCGTGGGAAGAGGCCTTTCAAAAGTTGGGAGCTTTGGATGACTCTGAACCTTTTGAGATCTGTTTGTAACTAATTTAAATTTAAAAATAGAACAACTCCCCTAAAGCTTATTGGACTGAATCATTTTTTTCAGTTGATTCTTATTCCCTCTGACCCCCTACTCATATGTATAACAAACACATGCTGCCCACAGCGGACACCACCTTGCACTCTATGGAAAAGTCACAGGATTACTCTGTTTCCATATTTATTCATGCAAGAAAATAAGAACTTATAAGACTACATCAGTGCAGTTTATTGGAAAGTGCTTGCATAAATCAAGAGAAAAATAAATACACCACAATGTGTTTCAAAAGGAAAGTTAATTTATCATTATATGCTTTTTAAGATGTTAATCACTATAGTATCTAGGTACTAATAACTGTAAGAAGCTAGGAATACAAGAAGGGCAGCATCACACTGATGGATCCACAATTCATGAGTAAGGCTGCAGTTCTGTCATGGAGGTCATGAAGTCACGGATTCTGTGACTTTCTGCGACCTCTGTGACTTTCTGCACATGGCTGGTGCAGCTGATCCCAGGGCTGCCAGAGCAGCTGGCTCTGGGGAGCGCCCAAGAAACAGGGGCCCCAGAACTTTTTAGTCCAGGGTATTTATAAAGTAAAAGTCATGAACAGGTCATGGGCCGTCAATTTTTGTTTACTGCCCGTGACCCGCCTTATTCATAATTTTGTTTTACATCTCCCTGTATGATTTTTATCACAACTTGGGCTATGTTGACTGACTATCTCAAGTGAAATTTGGATATTCAATAAACATGAATATCTGCTGATATTCCTCTGCGTAACGTGCCTTTCGTTCAGAGAACAAGGGAAAAGATAAGTCTCTGGGAGCACAGTTAACATTAAATTGGATTTCTCATGTGAAAAGAATTCAGAGGCATTAGCCCACCACTTGTCAGCTTCATTCCATATCACATGCTGCTCTCCCCTCAAAAAAGAAAGACGTAATTCAGCAGTTTTGAACAAACCTTTTAAAATAGTATTTTCAGACAGATATGGTTTCCTTCTAACAAGTCTGTTGTAAAAACTGAGCAAGGCATTTGACCCTGGAAGGTAGGCAAGTACAATATATACAAAAATGGTAACCTGCTGGCTATATGATCATGTTTTTATTGTGGTGATCTTGCAGGACTAGTCCATATGGTCAGACACAGTGCACAATCAAATCAGCTCAGTATGTTCTATTCAGTGTCTAGGGTCAATCATTTTAATCACAATATTGTAGTCACTCAAATTTAGTCCAGTTTAACATAATATCTGCTTCTGCTGTAGAAAGGTCCAGTTCTGAGACAAAATTGACCCAGATGAGGTATATTTTTAAAGCAGTGTGCTCTAGGAATTCACATAAGTCTTGTTAATAACATAACAAGCTTAATGTAAGGACTTTCCAAACACTAATTTGAAAATGCCCCTATCCCTTTGCAGTCTGAGTGGTGGGGAGGCACTGTTTGCAAAAGAAAACCCTTGGCCCCTTTAAAGATAGTACTCCTTCTTGTGAGCACTCAGCCTCCTTGTGGTCTTGAGGTGGGGAAGAGGGGGGTTCTATGGCTGATTGGTTAGAAAGACAGGTTCAGCATAAGCCTACTGGTTCCTGCACACCCCAGGGGAGGGCTTATAAGCTCTTTCCCCTGCCTGGGGATGACATTCTGGGCCAGGAGGGAGAAAGGCAGCAGAGGAACCTGCCACAGTTACATGTAGCAATGTACCCGCCACAGTGTAGGGGACCCCACAACTGTTTGGATGACAACAGGGTCCTAGAAAGGACAAGCTGCAAATCATTCCTAAAGGCTGAGCCTTTAACTCACAACAAGACCCAGAGCTTTTGCCTTACAGGGGTGACCAGATATCTCAATTTTATAGGGACAGTCCAAATATTCAGGGCTTTGTCTTATATAGGTGCCTATTACCTCCCACCCCTTATCCTTATTTTTCACACTTGCTATCTGGTCACCCTACAGAGGTGACATGAACCCTGCTTGCCCTAGCAGAAGCAGAGGAGGAAGACAGTGAGATTCACACGTTTTTCTCCTATCAGAGGTTTCTCCTTGGCTGGCAGTGGTGAGGGGGCCTTGAGTGGGCAGGGTGGTTGATACCGTGGCAGAGCTCATTCCCACCCACTGCAAAGGGCAGGAAGGAGAAGTAGAAGAGAGCCGGGAACTGTCCATGAGGCTGGAGTCACTGACCTGTGGGGTGGCCAGAGGGTCCCTACACAGTTAGCTTGTGGGGAGTCCCTGAACTGGACTGCCTATAGCGTTCTCCTAGGTCAAGCATTGTAAAAATAGGTCCTGGAGTGGCATTGGTTGCATTCTCTGGGTGGTTGCATTCTCTGGCACCTGCCCTGAGAGCTAGGAGCTTGACAGTAAGAAGGTGGAGAGAGTTCGTAACTTTCCCAGGGGCTGAAATCACAGACCTGTGTGAGTGTGTGTGTGTGTGTGTGGCAGGGGGAGGGGTGGTTAAATGATGGGAAAGTTGGTGATTGCCCATCCTGAAATTGCATATTGCATAACCTGAGTTATTCAGGAAATATAATTCTGGCTGTTATTAGAGAAGGAACCGTTAACGATCTGGGACTTTGGCAGAGATTGGGGGAGCAAGCCAAGCAAATTACTGCTGTCCGCTGGTGGCAGGTGCCCAGTGCAGGTAAGCATTCAAGAGGGGTCTGGCTCCTTGGTAAACTAGAATTGGAAGTGGATTAGGAGGCATCTCCTAAAGAAGGTGGGAATGGGGCTGGGCTCCTAATGTCTTGTACAGTGAGGAGACAACCACTTTTTTCCATACATTCAACCCTTCTGTGAGTTCTCCCACACCAGCGGTGGGAACAGGTTAATAGAGTGGGGGCTGCTGGGCGCTCTCCACCAGGTGGATTGGAGAGCCGGAATGGGTGTTTCCAACTAGACCAGAGTACAAGGAATTTGAAGAAGTCAGTGAAAATTAGAATTGTGGGTGCTTATAGGAAAAAGGTGTATAGACAAACAGAATACGTAGAGCTGGCTTTGCAGAAGAATTACATGCTCTCCCATAAGGAAGGTTAAAATGAATACATAAATGGATTTTTTAAGTCAATCAGTTTTGCCTGAGTAACTGAAAAGACAAGATTAATAAATAATAGTTAATACTGACAATCTCCTATGAGGATAATTAAAGTGTATATGTTGGTGAAATAATTAAAGTAACTACATTTTGTATATTATGTTTTGCAGGCTCACCTGAGACACAGGATATGTCAGGGAGACTCTGTGTTGCACAGGAGGATTTCCATCTGCAGCCATTTTAATCATACAATAACCTCCAGGACTGCTAACAGGCAACATATAGCTGGAAGGAAACAGAAGATCTTGTTATTGTTTATGCTGTTGACAGCAGAGTGTTTGAACTTCACACAGCAAAGGCAGAGTGAAAAAGATGCTTTGCCTCCATCAAAGATGACCCTCTCTGGGCAATAATACCACCAGAAGTTTTCTGACCATATGGACTTAGAACAGTGTTTCCCAAACTTGGGACGCCGCTTGTTCAGGGAAAGCCCCTGGCGGGCCAGGCCGGTTTGTTTACCTGCTGTGTCCGCAGGTTCGGCCGATCGCAGCTCCCACTGGCCGCGGTTCACTGTGTCCGCCCAATGGGGGCTGTGGGAAGTGGCGCGGGCCGAGGGACGTACTGGCTGCCGCTTCCCGCAGCCCTGGGACACAGCGAACTGCGGCCAGCAGGAGCCACGATTGGCCGAACTTGCGGACGTAGCAGGTAAACAAACTGGCCGGCCTGCCAGGGGCTTTCCCTGAATAAGCAACGTCCCAAGTTTGGGAAACACTGACTTAGAGGGACAAAAGATGTACGTTTCTTTTTTATTGTCCCTCTTTCATTTACCTTCTGAATGTTTTTGACTCTAGTGATTGAAATGCATATACAAAAAACAGAGTAAAAAGAGATCTTTACATGTTTAAGTGGGTACTCATAAATTGTAAGTGCTAACTGTGGTTGACATATGGTCTCCCTAGTGTAGGGTATTGCTGGACAAGAAAAATCAATGCTGAATGATGCTCAACTCCCTAGGTGTAAATTTCTCTTTCCTGGCCTACAGGGGAAATAGAAATGGAATAAGAAATGAAAGGATGCATACCTCTGAGCAGCTAGATTACACTGTGATATAGTTATCGCTACTCAGGAAGCATGCTGTTAATGTAATTCCAGTACTGAGCTTCAGAGATAAAGAAGAATATTAGGCTAAGGGAATTTGCAAAGTACATGTTAGGAACATTCAATAAGCTATTGAGAATTTTTCAAGTATATTTTACATGGTGAAATTCTATGTACATTATCAATAATAAAAATTCATTCCTGTAAGATGACATTCAAATACATTAATTTTCACTCCAACATGTATTACAGTAATGACAGAATGTGAGAAAATTAGCTGTTAGCTTGTTTAAAAGTGAGTTCTGTTAATTCAGCAGAAGTACAATGAGATTATCTAATTCAAATAGCCTCATCACAAAAGGCATTTCTGTCTTTTCGTGAATACATACTCCTCCTCACTACACACTAGCAAACCAATTGTTTCGTTTCAGAGTAGCCGCCATGTTAGTCTGTATTCGCAAAAAGAAAAGGAGTACTTGTGGCACCTTAGAGACTAACAGATTTATTTGAGCATCCGATGAAGTGAGCTGCAGCTCAAAAAGCTTATGCTCAAATAAATTTGTTAGTCTCTAAGGTGCCACAAGTACTCCTTTTCTTTTTGCAATTGTTTAGTGTATGGTATCAGCAGTCTCCTTCCTGCATGTTTGGCTGAAGAAGGATCTTGAAAGAATCAGCTGTATTGCCCTGGAGCTCTTCCCAGGTCCTTGAAGTGGTTTCTGATTTATTAAATCTTGCTCAACTGATATTATCTGTTCCCCTTTGGAGTACAATCACTGGGAATTCTCCAGCACTCTTTACAATATCTAGCGTCCTTATTGTGAAATCTTTTGTTCTGGTACTCTGGAAGCAGTATGCTCTCATTTTCTTTATCTGGATCACAGGTATCTTGATATTCCTGACTATGGAGTCACCAGTCAGGATTCTGTGCCACCTCTTTCTTTCAGGTTTCAGAGTAGCAGCTGTGTTAGTCTGTATCCGTAAAAAGAAAGGGAGTACTTGTGGCACCTTAGAGACTAACAAATTTATTTGAGCATAAGCTTTTGTGAGCTACAGCTCACTTCATCTTTCAGGTGCTTTCCTCAGGTGAAACCTCTTGAGTGTTTGCTTCTTGGTTACAGGTCAGGGTAATGTCAGACTTTAGTACGTTCTCTGTCTGCTTGAATTCCTCAGTTACATAATTACACAGGGAAAGATGTAGTCTTCCAGGAAGGAGAGTAAAAGCTAATGCCATAAACTTCACCAATAGTCAGTGCAGATCTTGGCCTGATGTGCTCGTGGAAAGAAACCTTGCTTATCAGGTGGGCTGCTACATTCTACACCTGCTGTAGCTAATAAATGGGTTTAAGGTGTAGTCCACATTACAGTAGTCCAGATCTAGGGGCAGCAAAGCCTAGAATTACAGTGACAAGGTCCATCAGTGCTGATGACAATGGAAAAAAACAACAACAATAGTATTGGTCAGCCACTTTTTGATTACCCAAAAGCAGCTGGGAATCTAACCAAAACTCTGTTGCAAACCTTAGTTACAAATGTTGGGTGTTCGCTCTTGGTGCTTATTTTTGGCATTTAATTTCCTTGGTTTTGATTCTTTATTTAATTCACAAAGAGGTGGGAGAATAAAAAGGAAATGTAATTAAAAATGCTTTCTGGATCCCTTAGCACTGCTAAATAAGTTCCTAACTGCCCTAGCATTAACTGAAGCACTTAAATGTAAACAATCAAAGATATCCTAAACTCAAGCAGCTATTCAAAGAGGCATCTTTACCTGTGCTTGCCTAGTGTTCTAATACACTCAAAGGCAAGGGTGCCAGAAAAAAAGGAATAGACAATTCCAATGCACAATGGCAAAAATGCTAACTGTAAATAAGTTCAAGCAACTTCACAAAGGTGGTAAGTATAATTATCCTGGTTTTACAGATGGGGACGCTAGGACACAAAGAAGGGAAGTGATACAAACAAGGTCACTATGGCACAAACAAGGTCAGTTAGCACACCAATGACAGATCTGGAAATGGAACCCCTGTCTCCTGTATGCCAGTCTAGTTCCCTATCCACGTGGCCACACATTACTTGAAAAATACTAAAACCATTTTCTTCAAACTTTAATGTTTGTTCCTTTCTCAATGACAATAAAACAAGTCTCTTTCTTTAGCGACTTAAAATTATATTAATACAAGAGTTCCAGTTAGAACATATGGGAAGGGTGAGTGAATGCTTTTCATGTTTACATTTAACCCAAATGATATAATAAATTGTTCAATTATGCATTGGAAAGAGAGAGAGCATGGAAAACTTCAGCCCAAAAGAAAGCAGTATGCAAAAATTATGAATAACTGAAAAATGGGGACTAGTATTGAAATGGCATCTCAATCTTCACTATTGCAATGGCAAACACTATAATATGGGCGTACACACCATATATTTATATTGACTTTGTTTTTATAATGTAAGAGAAAAATACATCAGAACTGTTCTGCAGTATTACAGTATAACATATGTGCATCCAAACACCTTTGCATCAAACTACATGAAATCATATTGAAACATTTTCCTTACAACTCAGAGAATAAATTAGGGCCCCAGTCCCGCAACTGCATGCATGCAAGCAAGAGGATTCTTATGTGTATCTCATTGGAGGACTGGGGCCTAAATAGTGACAACAGAAAAGGTGAAAATTGATCTGATAATGACAATGCATTCTCATGACATTTTTTAGCTTTATTTTTCTAATTAACCTCATTGGCCTCACGTTAAGAACTTTGAAGATGAAAGTGGCTAATCTTCAAATTCTAGAGATAAAACCAAGTTAAGTTTTGAATCTTCATGGCTTGTTTTGCTGCTGAAGGCATTTCAGTGCATCTGCCTCATATACTTCAGTGGGATATTTCAATGCCATTTAAATCCAGCATATTTTTCCCTCCAGACAGAGTGACAGAAAAGTATGCAATTTGATTTCTAAGATATATAGGATTTATTTGTCAAACACATAAAATACTCTGTGTGTCACATGATCACCACATTTATAATGAAATGAAAAGCTTTACAGAATAGTGGAAAATTATAGTGTAAGGGTGCATGCTGTACAATACATTTTTCTAAATAATTAGAGTAGGTGTTGAGCCATGTGCAGGTACTACTTCTGTAAGCAGTACATTACAGGCCTGATGTTGTACAATATATGCTTTCACTGCTTCAAACATGAAAGTGTTCAGTCCTCTTCTCTGAATTTGACTATTATTCAACTAATGATGCTGTTCTATCTGTTGTGGATTTTGTGTACGTTATTGTTAAGAAGAATAAACAGCGGGTTTCCGAAAGGGTTTATTTCTTTTCCAACAGATGCAAAATTAAAAATTATACACGCTAATTACATTACTGGTTAGATCCTGATTAATCACCTTAGCACTGAATATTGAATTCCTAATAAACTAGTGCAATATTTATCGAGCAAACTTGTATGCCTCTGGCACCAACTATATTAAGTACTGGATTGGATTAAATTGGGCTTGGAACTGTTATTAAAAGGAATCTTTTTTAAGCCAGCTAAGATTGAGGCATTTTTAATTCAAATGTTAGCTGATATAATCTTGTTCAACCAAATGTTTTAGCTTAAACTTTGACAGTTAGCTCTGCATATCGAGGAATGTGATGAGCTGATGTGCCTTTCTGTTAGCAGAAGTCACCAGGTGGCAGTAAAGGTACATGGCAGAAAATGAGAATGTAAAATTCATATTCCTATCTCCTCTAGTCAGTGGAAAGTCTAACTTAAGCTTAATTGATAGAATGATTGCTTCAGCTTCCAGTTTATATCAAGGGAAACATAGCAAAGTATTTTAAAGTGATTACATATTTGCCAATATGGATGAGGATTGGTCCAGAGACATATGACTTTCCTAACTTTATTCATGCATTATAATTACCTAATGTAATCATATAAAAATGGTACATTTATGGTTGTACAAACATACTTAGGAAAATGTTGTTTACATCAATTATGGGGTTTTTTTTTACAGTGTTATCATCACAGCCATATTTCTTTAGGTTTATCACTGAAATCCAGCAAAATTAAAATGACAAATTAGAATATATTAAAGGTCATGCATATAAACAACAGCCTCTGACCTCATAAAAACTAAATTGATCCTCTTCTGAGTCTATCAATAGGGATTTCACACTGCCAGTGAGCT